CTTGTCTGTGGCAAGCCGTTTTATCATTTATTCCTATTTCTTGATATCAAGAAATGATTTTCTGTTGTAAAGCAATAGTAATTCTTTTTGAATGCATGTAGACCCAACATGTGTACTTAATTCATCAAGGCAAAATAATTGATGTTTGGCAATGTCTCTATGAATAATTGTACATACATGTAAATTTATTTCTATTTGCACGTCAAACGTTAATCATGTAGGCTTTAATATTTGATAGGTTTTGTGTCACTTAATTAGGCCGGTAGAGACCTACATCGCTTCTAATTGCTATGAATGAAAATTCAATGTCTTTTATTAGGCATTGCATGGTCGAAGATTCAATAATGTTTATCACTCGAAAGCATATTTATTTCAAATATCGATTTTTTTTATTCCTCAAAAGATATGAAGACAAAAAATTGAAAAATTATGAATATACCCGGCAAATAAAGCGCTTCAGCGGAGGTTATTTATAACAGTACATTATAAAGAAAAATTATATCAGGATCAAAACAATCCTTTCTTTACATTTGATTTTGGATGTTTGTTTGTTTGTTTTTTGTTTTTTGTTAAATAAACTCATCTTTATTCAATATTATTGCTCTCGACTTTGCAAAGACATAACAAAATATATATATATGTACATACATAATATAAACAATAGAATCAACAACAAAATATAACTGATTATACAAGACATGGTGGTACAGAGAAGAAAAAGAACTTGAAGCAACAAAATGTTTCCACCTATTATCAAATGAAACAAATTTGTTATTTTTAACATAAATGTATTGTTCAAGAGAACGATAACACACACTTTTTTTGCATTTGTTGGAAAATATATAGTATTTGGCATATAAAATAATGAAATTAAATTGAACTTTCCATTAAATTTTCCATAAAATCCAAATAAGAAATTAATTTTATTCACAACACAATTCTTGTTTACATCCAGCATACACGTTATCAGTTTCAATATTTCAGATTGTAGTATATAAGCAAACTATTGATACTTAGCTATATGTACTTTAAACTATAACCTGATCTAAAATATAAGAATGTGACGTAGCTAGAACACATTTTTTTTTTAATGAAGTACTAACTATTAAAGGCCGGCTTTAAACCCTGTCTGAGTGGCGGAATAGTATATTATAATAAATATAATATTAAATGAAGTACTAACTATCAAAGGCCAGCTTTAAACCCTGTCTGAGTGGCGGAATAGTATATTATAATAAATATAATATTTAATGAAGTACTAACTATCAAAGGCCAGCTTTAAACCCTGTCTGAGTGGCGGAATAGTATATTATAATAAATATAATATTTAATGAAGTACTAACTATCAAAGGCCAGCTTTAAACCCTGTCTGAGTGGCGGAATAGTATATTATAATAAATATAATATTTAATGAAGTACTAACTATCAAAGGCCAGCTTTAAACCCTGTCTGAGTGGCGGAATAGTATATTATAATAAATATAATATTTAATGAAGTACTATCAAAGGCCAGCTTTAAACCCTGTCTGAGTGGCGGAATAGTATATTATAATAAATATAATATTTAATGAAGTACTAACTATCAAAGGCCAGCTTAAAACCCTGTCTGAGTGGCGGAATAGTATATTATAAAAAATATAATATTTAATGAAGTATTAACTATCAAAGGCCAGCTTAAAACCCTGTCTGAGTGGCGGAATAGTATATTATAATAAATATAATATTTAATGAAGTACTAACTATCAAAGGCCAGCTTAAAACCCTGTCTGAGTGGCGGAATAGTATATTATAAAAAATATAATATTTAATGAAGTACTAACTATCAAAGGCCAGCTTAAAACCCTGTCTGAGTGGCGGAATAGTATATTATAATAAATATAATATTTAATGAAGTACTAACTATCAAAGGCCAGCTTAAAACCCTGTCTGAGTGGCGGAATAGTATATTATAAAAAATATAATATTTAATGAAGTACTAACTATCAAAGGCCAGCTTAAAACCCTGTCTGAGTGGCGGAATAGTATATTATAATAAATATAATATTTAATGAAGTACTAACTATCAAAGGCCAGCTTAAAACCCTGTCTGAGTGGCGGAATAGTATATTATAATAAATATAATATTTAATGAAGTACTAACTATCAAAGGCCAGCTTTAAACCCTGTCTGAGTGGCGGCATAGTATAATATAATAAATATAATATTTAATGAAGTACTAACTATCAAAGGCCAGCTTAAAACCCTGTCTGAGTGGCGGAATAGTATATTATAATAAATATAATATTTAATGAAGTACTAACTATCAAAGGCCAGCTTTAAACCCTGTCTGAGTGGGGGCATATTATAATATAATAAATATAATATTTAATGAAGTACTAACTATCAAAGGCCAGCTTAAAACCCTGTCTGAGTGGCGGAATAGTATATTATAATAAATATAATATTTAATGAAGTACTAACTATCAAAGGCCAGCTTTAAACCCTGTCTGAGTGGCGGCATAGTATAATATAATAAATATAATATTTAATGAAGTACTAACTATCAAAGGCCAGCTTAAAACCCTGTCTGAGTGGCGGAATAGTATATTATAATAAATATAATATTTAATGAAGTACTAACTATCAAAGGCCAGCTTTAAATCCTGTCTGAGTGGCGGAATAGTATATTATAATAAATATAATATTTAATGAAGTACTAACTATCAAAGGCCAGCTTTAAACCCTGTCTGAGTGGCGGAATAGTATATTATAATAAATATAATATTTAATGAAGTACTAACTATCAAAGGCCAGCTTTAAATCCTGTCTGAGTGGCGGAATAGTATATTATAATGAATATAATATTTAATGAAGTACTAACTATCAAAGGCCAGCTTTAAACCCTGTCTGAGTGGCGGAATAGTATATTATAGTAAATATAATATTTAATGAAGTACTAACTTTCAAAGGCCAGCTTAAACCCTGTCTGAGTGGCGGCATAGTATAATATAATAAATATAATATTTCATTTATAAAGCCCCTTTTCATTAGATACAAAGCGCATAAACAAGGCAAATAGAGAACATTATCATACAAACTGATATTAATTACAAATGGAGAGGAATATTACAAGAAAAGACGTGTTTTCAGACACTTCTTGAAAACTGTGAGAGTTTGACAATTCTTAAAGACCATATCCGAACTGAAAAATGAAATGGATGAAAGACATATTCAAACCCTTTTGTTTTGAGGGAAGTTATAAATTAGTATTATCTTTCAAATGCCCCACTGCACTAGTTTGGGCATGAGGGATTATACCTCCCTGCATGGTCACTGACAGGTGGTTATCTCATCCAATCAGCTCTCAATTAACGGTCACAGATTAGGCATTGTTTGCTATATAGAGGGCGCAAGTAGCTATAAGTAGTGCAGTGGGGCCTTAACTTTTTCATTTGTTTGGCCTGCAAATATAGTTCCTTTAAAGGTACTCCTATTTGCAGCCAACATCAAATTTTGTAGAACTTTGCAGGAATTAAGAATATGTCGATCACCCATGTCCTATCTGTGAAATTAAAACGTTTACTTTCTAGACTTAACTGTCAGACACTATTGAGTGACTGACCGACTTCTGTCTACATCAATAACCCACTTCTTGTAATGGCCAAAAATTAAACTGATTGAATCTTTGTGCAACACAAAACGTACGACCATTCTGTACAGTTAGGGTCTGAAAATCAGACTATTACTAAATTAATGATTGCAATCACTAAAGTCGATTCGACAACTATAATGCTCGTTATTTTCCCACTAAAAGACATTTTTGAACCCTTCCGTTTTGAGGGAAGTTCTAAATAATTAGTATCATCTTTCAAATGCTGTTGGAATTTTACCTTTTCATTTTTTTTGGCCTGCAAATGGGACATACACTGTAGTACCTGTAAGTACAGGAGGTAAGAATTTCCAGGTTTTGGGAGTAATAACGGGAAAAGCCCTATCATGCTATCACCCATCTGTTTACTGGTTCGAGGGACAGGAAGTATTTTACTACTGGTTGACCATGTATTATACTGTGCACATGGATGTGCGCGAATTGAGTATATCACCTGGTATGCTGGGGCCTGATCATGAGGTCTTACATGTATGTATGAATATTAAAGCAAAGCCAGTGAAGATCAGTGATGAGCGGGGAGACATAGCCAAATTTTGGCTTACAATGAATGAGCTGTGCTGCTTTATTTTGGAGGAGTTGAAGGGAGTTAAGATCTTCAAGCGATAAACCATGACATTTCTCATTATATATTTCTTAATCTTAAGAATATGTACAACAAGATCACAACATCTTTCAATAAACTATAAAAATGTGCAAAAATGACAACATGACAATATAAATCTAATATTGCATTATTGAATGTCAAAAAAACTAAGTCTATGAATTTTAGTAGAACAGAGAATAAGCCTAGAATCTGTTTGAAACTTGATGGACATATCATTGATCAGGTCAGTAATTACATCTACCTAGGACAAAATATCAAAGATGACGCCAGATGCGAAGCAGAAAAATGAGAGAATAGAAATTGCTTGGAATACATTTCTGGCAATGAAAGACTTATTCACAGATAGACTGAAAGGTGAAATTTGCGCTTAGGTTGAGAATAGTAAAGCGCTTAGGTTGAGACTAGTAAACTGTTATGTATGGTCTGTCCTATTGTATGGAGCAGAAACATGGACAATAAGCAAGGCCCATGGAAAATAGAATAACATCTTTTGAAATGTGGATTTACAGAAGAATGATGAAAATATCCTGGAAAAAAAAGAAAGCCAACAAAGATATATTGCACATGGCAGGGCGTAAACACGTTGCACTAATAGGATAAGTTAAGGAGAGAAAAAGCAAATACTTTGGTCATGTTAAAAGGCACCAAAGCCTCTTAAAGGATGTATTGGAAGGAAGAGTGGAAGGAACTAGACCGAGAGGGAGACCCAGAATCAACTGGGAAGAGAATGTCAAGAACTGGAGTGGACTAAAACTGCAAGAGTGCACCAGAATGGCAGAAGATAGAGTGAAATGGAGAGATGTTGCAATCAACCTCCGAACCGGAAGAAGATACTTAGATAGATAGAGATGATATTGAGTTGCCCTTATAAAGTCCATTATGTTTTGAAATGAACATGATATAACTAAATTTCAGTGATGTACAAACAATCAAGACATCTCCGTGTTTACGATAAATCATGTACCTCTCTCTCTTTATCACAGGTCCTCTTGAAATCGCTAATATTTGAATGTTCTGATTATTACCAAATATAGCTTCTTGTCCCGGCCAATTGCCCATTTTATGAGTGTGTGAAAGACAAACTTCCATGTCCTGACTAATGCCTCCCCAATGGTCTATGTTCCTGCCTGGGTGAGGAGTTTGGAAGTTTCATCTTGCTTACACTCGTCTGACCCGTCGGGTGTGTTACCTGCAGAAAAAAAAGGAATGTGTCACGTCAACACAGCGATTTTGAAGTCAGGTTGAAACCCGCATGTAGATATGTATTTACGTTACCATGTATAATAATGGTGAGTCAATAAAATATATAACATATAAGTGATAGTATAGCTCCCTACAACCCCCCTTTTTTTCTCTCTCTCTACAGGAGTGTGCAAGAGTTAATACATTGCAGAACAAGGTCCTGTTTCATAAAACTTATTATATGACAAATTTGCTCTCAGTCAATCAAAGGCCACAATTTCAGTAGCTTATAAAACTAATTGTAACATGTTAATGAACAGTGGCATAATGAGCAAAAACATTTGGGGGGGGGGCTGACAAAAAAATCTGCATCTATCCACTCTTACAGGCAGGCCCCGCTGAACGTTTTTCAAAGTGGGGTCTAGGGGCGGAGCCCCGAAACTCAAGGGGTATGGGCATCAGTGGCGGATCCAGGAATTTCTTACCGGGGGGGGGGGGGGCATAAAATGGCATGGGGTGAAATATATGTAAAACGGTGAAACGACAGAGCGAGGCTTTAGCGGCGAGGGAGCGGAGTGACCAAGCGGGGGTGGGTCTGGCAGGGGGTATGACCCCCTCCTAGAGTAGGAAGCATTTGCAATTTTAGAACCACATTGGACGCATTTTCAGGCACTTCCTGGAGATAATGACCTAAAATTGCTTTCTCCTACCCCCCCCCCCCCCAAGAGTAGGGATCTTTACAATTTGAGAACCATATTTGGCGCAATAATGTCCACCGGCACTTCCTGGAAAAAAAATGAGGTCTTCTGATTGGTTGGAAGTTAGAGAAAAGTGATCTGTCACGTCGTGAGACGTTGTATATGCTTCGCTGCTGCACAATGCACAAAGACGGTGGTCCGGTACTTCACCAGTAGTACTTGCAAAAATTATCTCGAGTGTATAAACTCTGTTGTTATCAGGGGCGTCGCTAGACCTTTTCAGTGGGGTGGGGGGGGGGGGGGGTGTAGAGGCCACTGATTATCGACAAAACTAGCCACCAATAACCCACAATTATATAAATCCCAATGTCTACAAATCAACCCTATAAACCCGGGGCCAGGAACTAAGTTATTTTTCAGTTTTCCCCCTTCCGCGCAAAGCGCGGAAGCTTTGACAATTCATTTACCGGTAATTATGAGAGAAAGAAGACGATCCGTTATACCGTTCCCAACTCTCATGTTTCGCCCCTCCCGCGCGAAGCGCAGAAGCTATTACGTTTCATTTAATTATTAGAGAAAGAAGACGATTCATTGCATCGTGTCCTTGTCTGAATTCAGTTTCCCCCTCCCGCGTGAAGCGGGGAAGCTTTGACGTTTTATTAAATTATTACTCTTAATCCTTGTCTGAATTCATTTTCGCCAATCCCGCGCGAAGCACGAAAGCTTTCACGTTTCATTAAATTATTAGAGAAAGAAGACGATTCGTTGTACCGTTCTATACTCTTAATCCTTTTCTGAATTCAGTTTCCCCACTGGGCCCCTTAAGGGTTCACGTGCAGTGTTACATTATTTGTATATATGTGTATTTTTACTGAGACAGGGCCTTATGGAAGAACAGTTTTAAATCTGAATGAAATATGTGAAATAAATAAATAAATGTATGTATAAGGAACGTTCGTTCGCAAATCTGTGCATGCACAGCCCAAGTAGTGGGTAGCATGTTTTCTCCCTGCAGTGCTTGTCGCATTAGCTTCTGGAAAGAAATTGTATATATACCAGTGTTACTGTTAGTGGCCACTAAGGCCCATTAGTGACTATAAAAAACATATGCTCTTCCTGACTATTTGGGAATGTGCTTGCAACAGAAATGGAGAAACACGCATTTTGTTGAAAATCATGTGATATCACGAACATTTATAAATCACTTGTATGGACTTGAAAATAATTCATGGTTCAAGCCCCCCCCCCCCCCCCCCCCACCAGTACGCCAGATAACAAGTTTTATGGAACAGGGCCCTGCAGTGCAATATTAGAGAAAAAATTTAACAACATGAAATTCATTCACTCCATGACATTCTTTCGAAATATGAACATTCACATAAAAGTGTATTTGCATATATGGTTCATAGCAACATATTGCATGAACCGTACATACACATGCAGTTAGTAGACTAACTAATAATGTATTGGATATATGTCGTAAAGAAAGATACCTTGCTCCTTTGTGTCAACGTTTTCAGTGGTGCTCTCTTTTGATTCTGCAGCTCCATCTTTGCTCTTCTCTTGCATCACTTCTCAAGTTAGATCAAATACAATAATGAAAATAAGAAGGTAAGGACAGAGATAATTACAATGCAGAGGCTTCGCTAATAAAAGGAGGAAAGCTGCAACAGCATAACTCCTGTCGATCGTATTCTCTTTTATAACATTCATAATGTATATCATATAGTACCCCGGCTTTAGCTGTGCTGCCATTACAGCGCTCTAGCATTTCAAAGAATTAATTCCTGCCAGGTACCCATTTACATCACCTGGGTTGAGTGTGGCAAATGTAGATCAATGTCTTGCCAAAGGACATTAGTGCCGTGGCGGGTCTCGAATCGCGAACCTTCTGATCGACAGTCCAGCAACTTTACCACTCGACCACGGCACCTCTACCAATTGTGGATGCTGGCAATTTCCATGGTGATAGCTAACATTTGTTCCTTTTCATCTTGAATAGACAATTACTCCACAGAACAATTTAAAGCACAGTTGAAAGCGTATATCTGATGTTTAAATTTCATTACCAAAGGACTATAATATGTTGAACTGTTATATGCATATTCATTGTTTATTTAATATTTAAATTTCTGTTAATCTAAGAGTTAAGTTTAATTATATGTAGAAATATTATATGTTGAACTGTTTTGTGCAATCTGCACATTCATTTTTGTCGCGCCTTGATCGAAAGTTTTGGATACGTGCGTGTTATAAATTCATATTATTATTATTATATGACATTCGCTCATATGGATTTATATCAAGAATCACAGAAACTTTGAATTTCTTCAATTTAACATTGTTTCTCTACATCTCATCAAATAAGAATAAGAGGCCCTGAAAAGATGAAGACGGTTACAAATGTATTGATTTTATAACTGATAAACAATCTTTATATTTAACATTACCTGCCATAATCTCATGCGCAAAGGCATAGAATCCAGCACTAAGAAGTTTGTTGCTCATTTCTGCAGGACTCTTCTGTATTAATCCCTTCTCTTCGTTCTCCTTTGTTTGGTCCAGGATTTCAAACAATGTAGGCACCTGTCCCACCGGAATGTCATCCAGTAGCCGTTGTGCCTCTTGCTCGTCTATCACCCTACTTCTATACACTCCTGACAACAAATGAAGAAAAAAATATGATACAAATGCCTCTATCTTGAGAATACAGGGCGGCTTTGTCCTTCCATTATTAAATGTGCCTTCATTAACGTAAATTTTCATAATTCTATCCCACTAAATATATATTTGTTTCATAAGTACTTGAATTGATTGTAAAGGCTCTCTGGGAAATTCTGATTTATTTCCTGGGAAAAGGGGGCAATAGTGGAATTTTGCTTTTGCCATCATGTATATATTTAAATCTCAAAGAAACATTTGTGTGTGTGTCCACTCTGCTATGTGTCTTCACACTATCAGGGGTATATATACTTCTACTGGTCCTCTGAAAAAAATGGAAGAAAAAGAAAAATACTGAAAGAATATGAATTAAAAATTGTGAAAGTTCTTCATGAAGGTGTAAAGATACCTGAGATGATGTCTAGTGCGAGTTGCTCCTCCCCCATGGTGAACAACGCATCGGCCAATACCAAGCGATGGTTGAAGGTTGAAGAACAAACAGTGTCTCTCCATCTAAGAAGTCCAGATTGATGAAGTGTATCATCCTTCCCTTGGTTGCCCGGACCCGTTGTATTGACATCATCAGAAACACCTACCGGTAGTTGTTTCGCCAGTTGTGCCATGTCAACTCGATTCTCAACGTTTATCATGTCTCTAACGCTGATTTCAAATCCTGTAACATTTATGAATACCCGTTTGTAAAAGAAAAATTAATATGATTTAAATTCACCCCACATTTTCTGGTTAACTTGAGAATTCCCTGGATTATATTGTGAAGCATCAATACTAGGACCACACAAATGGGCATGGAAAGAGCTATTGTATCTCCATCTTTTGGCACACTTAAAACGTTTAAAGGGCAAGTCCACTCCAAAAATAAATTACTTTAAATAGAAGCAGAAAAATCAGACATACCAATAAAAAAAAACTTTGAGCTGCAAAATCAGATAACTAATAAGAAAGTTATGAATTTTTAATGACATGAAAAACTTTGAAAATTACAAGACAAATTGGCAGCTCACTCATGAGTCTGTGACGTCAGTTCTTCACTATCAACTAATTATTTTCTTTATATTGACAATATAAATTTCCTTTTTTTTCCCCCTAAGAATCTTATTACTTCACACCAGCATCCAAGTTAGATTGATAGCAATATTTTTTGTGTGGATGCGCTAATATAAAGTGTTTTTCTTCAGTTAAATCATGAAAAATGTGAATTTTGATAAACTATTTATATAAAAATCAATAATTATGAATAACTAATATTCAGAAAATAGTATCAATTTTTCAAAGTTCATAAAAGATTTTGTGAAATGTCATGCACTCAATATGATACAAATCATTATAACCTGGGCAAAGGAATGGGGAAATCAAGTTTTGGGGGATCATAGGGAAATTAATGGGATTAAACTATATAAAGCAATTGATAAATAGTGAGAACATGACGTCACAAACTGATAACCAAATTGGCAATTTGTGTAGTGATTTCCATTGTTCCATAGTTTTACATAGTTTTTCAAAAATTCATAACTTTCTTTAAAAGCATCATTTTGTATAGGATCTCACCATGCAACCTAACCCTCTTTGTCATTGCTATGGATATAATTTGTGCATTATTGCAATAATCAGAAGGAAGATAGCATTTAAATGCCTGCAAGTAAATGAATATGTGCCTATTTGATTATTTGAGCAGTTTTGTATCAATTTAATAGTAACCATCCATTTTGATTTTGTTATGAGTCCATAAAGAGATAAACCACTGCCATGTGTTAAAGACAAGGTATAACATCTATAGAGCAATCAAACCAGACAGCGAGTTTCCAACAATTTCCTTTATACATGACTTTATACTAATGATAACAATACTAATAGCTCTTATAAAAGACTTAACCATTAACTGACTAACATGCTAAGGGTATTATTATTATTACCCCGGTCACTATAGATTCAATCACTATTCTGCACATCACATTGCTCTTCCTCCACTCCCTGAGGAGCATTCCAACTAGCTCGTCTTTTACGCGTGCCCACACGCTAATCCATCCATAATGACATTCGCACCCTACCGGGTACCCATTTACCACCTCGGAAGAGAGGAGCAATGTATAGATACAAGCCTTGCTCATGCAAAGACATTTTTTTAAACCAGAAAAGCAAAGCATTTCCTGTGATTTAGCCACTTGACTACAATACCTCCGCAAAATACTTAACCACGTGCGCATAACGCCCTTCCTTTGCCACAATAAGATATTTCCTTTTCATTTGTGTCTTAAATTTGTAAAGATGTAAACATGGTAAAGAAGATTCAGCACTTACCAAAATATAGTGCCCTTGCCTCTTCAGAATACCCTGCCTGTCTCAATTGCTTAACCATTTTCACTCGGTTATCAGTGTTCACCTGCTTCATGATCTTAGCAGTGCCCTGTGTCAGATTGTGGGGTCCAAGGTTGCCTCTGTAATGGGTAAGCACTTGATCGCTAATGTTCAGAGCTTTAGCAAACGGGTAAACGTCGGCCATGATAAGGCGAAAAGCGAAATCGATCAGCTCTACGTTGAAGATATTGACTGGTTTTCTCATTACAAGAAGGCAGGCTAGAAAAGATAATATAAAACAAGTAATTAAGTTGCATGTTTATTCATAATCACTTGAAATATGATCTGCTTGCCTATCATACTTCCCAAATCAGTACCCCTTCCGAATAACAACTTTATTTCATACAGAGGAACGTGACCAAGATGATAGGAGAGACAATTTAAGTGCATATAACTGTACATTGTCTTTTCTGATTGTCGACATTGTGCTCAATGCACTTTCTTTATTTCACCATTTCGCCGTTTCTTGTTCTAAAATATATTACTAAGGGGTAAAAGATAATATTAGGGTTATTTTCCATGAACTTTTTAAAATACCATTTCCGGAGGTCAGGGGGGGGGGGGGCACACCAACATATCAAAATACTCAACATCGAAATCCCCATAATTATATTCTAGCAGGAGACTGTGCTCCCACATTGTTGATTTAATATAATTGTTCTAAAATAGATTAACACTATTAGAAGGGATTTGCATTAGCCCTCAAAAAGACCATTTCGGAGGTCTAAGTCAGGTGCCATCCGACATAATACCATGAAGTGCTTTAATTACCATAGCGTGGGTGTTCATTCTCCAGAAGTTGTCTTAGAGTTATTCTTGGGGTATTTGGCTTCTTTTCTCTCTTAATTCTTTCATGTTCGGAGTCTAACGTTGATTTCAGCACATTGATTACTTTGGTTTCGAAAAGCAGTTCTTTTCCTTCTGGAGACTGTTGTCCCGCGACTGTCACATCGTATTTCTCACAGAACGCACGGAGAATCGATGACCCAGCGTAACGACCAATGCGATTGAGTTCGTCACGTGATATAGATGAGACTGTAAGGAAAATTATATTTAAATAAAAACATGATCGCAAAAAAACTTTGCAGAGGGAACTAAAGAGCAATTTCAGTACCATATTATATTGCCCATTGAAATATTCGGATAACATATTTGTTGTCATGATCGCACATTTTTAATACGATATGACGCAAAACAATATTGAAACACATTTAGGTTGACTTTTTGAAAGTCTTTGCGATTGTGTTAAAATATCATTTGTCATGAAGGCTTATATAAGCAAAGTTTCATCCTGCCGCAGATATGCCGCAGACTGCTCTTGTGGCATATTGGTATGCGGCAAGTCTGCAGCAAAATTTCTTTCTGCCGCATACTTCGGCATACTCTCAGTTGCCGCAGATCTGCGGCAGGTATGCGGCAGGTCTGGGGCATACTTTTCACTTTCCTATGGGTTGACATGCAACAGAGTAAATGATGTTACAACTATTAATTGTTTAATTTTTAATACAAGTTTTAGAATAGGGTTGTGGATTTGGTTCAAAAGAACATATTGGAAGCATATATGCGATCCTACAATATTAAGTGATCGTTGTTGTGGTTGAAATCGAGTCTAAAGTTATGAAATTGTAAATAATAAACTCTTTATGTTGTATAGCTCCCTCTCAAGGTCAAGATATTAATTAAGCTATAAAACAATGTTTCTTGACTAAAATCGACCGATTAGCTATTCCCGTTCGGCAATTATATATCACAACTACATATTCTGAGATTTTCATGGTCGTAGCTACCATTGTACGGCCGTAGCCGCTATTTGAAATTGATCAAAATTTACTGGCAGCACCGGTAATTTTTTTATATTCAATTGTTCTCGAAAGCAGAAGTGTTTTAGGGCTAAATTTTCTAGTGCTTATAATACATCCACAGGGGCATCCAAGTACATGTATATCAAAATTGTAAGGAATCACTATCCACCTTATTTTCAAAATTTCCCAAAACTTTGTATTATCTTTAATGCATCCGCGTAACTCTATACCAGTATATCTAGGCCCTGTTTTATGAAGCTTGATATCAATAACAATGACTGTTCTAAGCCACTGAAATTGTGATATCTACTTGGCTGAGAGCAAATTTGTAATATAATATTAGTATGTGTTATTAATAACGAGTTTTATGAAACAGGGCCCTGATATTGTTTATTGTTTGTGGCTATATATATAATCGTAAATAACACTCTTATCAATCGTAAAATAAATCAACCATGAAACATTCCTCAACAGTGTATCAACATTAAATGGCAAGTTATATTCGGAGGTGAACTGCTATTTGAAATGCCGAAAAAACATTTTTTCGTCATAAATAGCATAAAGCTATGGTATTACATGCTCAAATATAACAACATTTCAAGAAAAAATGTGATCTTAGTCGTCATCAGGAAGCTTATTGTATCATACAGGCTGTAGTTTCTGTTTGATATTTCTTACATTTTGGACATTGAAACATACATTTTATACAGGAAAATTCAATTGAATGTTAATCTTATGGATAAAAATTCAGAAACAAAACAAATACATACAGAG